AAAGGACAAGGAAGTCCAACAGGGACTCTCTAATCCAATTTTTTCCTCCCAAGAAGCCGCCTAGTTTGACGTACCTCATACCTCGTCCTCTATATCTGACTCAAAGGTTCTGCCAAATGAAAACAGGGGCTCTTCTTTCAAAAAGATTTTGGGGTTAAGCGACTGCACATCATCCATAATCTTAGCAATTTTTTTTCTTTTTTTGTGTGTGAAAAAACGCCTTCTGCCAATAGACAATCCTGGACCTGTCTGCGACACCCTCTCATTCTCTGAAACTTAATTATATAAGCTATATTTTAATACAACACAACAAATTCCTCAGCATCTCAAAACATACTGCCTCCGAGTCTGACCTTCAGGTGAGGTTTCATCATCCTGATCTACAGGCCTTTTCCTAACAAAAAAAGGCCTGTAGGCAATGTTTCCTCCTTTTCTTTTCATGTTTACACTAAAGGGAAGAGGGCGATGATACGATGGGCAATTAATAATGGAAAATACACACGCATGCACCCCGCACGCACACACACACAGGCACGCACACAGGCACGCACACACACGCAGACACACTGACACACGCACACAGGTGCGATTACAGGCACGCACACGCACACATACATACACACACTAAAAGTTCTACAAACTGAACAAGTAATGCGCTGCAGTACGTGTGTCTATACTTTGTGTCAAATGTAAACGGTTGGCTCTGCATCGCTAACTTACCTCTTTGTTTTCATCACGACTTGGGACTTGGGCACATGTGTGAGTCCAACAACCCAAAACATTAGCATACAGCACTGGCTCCACACCATGGATCTATTATATTAACTCTACATCCATGTATTAACTCCACACGGAGTCAGGGTGCGTTCACAGACGGGGGAAACCGTGGGAATTTTTGGCTTTTGGCGGAAAAAGTGCGGAAGATTCTCAAGATTAACATTAAGATTACATTGCCGTCTTCCGAGGGGGGCACTGGGGGTGGCAAGGATATTTTTAGAGGTGGCAGTGGCCACCCTGGCTACCCCTCTGGCTCCGCCACTGAACTGAGCACTATGAAACTGCCAGAACTTCCAAACCGTCATTTTGACTGCTCCCATACAAACCAATGGAGTTGTTGAGAAATAAGACAAGGCAGCAGCGATTGTTTATTTTCGAGTCGCTTCAGATCAAACATGTTTGTCTCAAAGTGCATGAGACCAGAGGATGTCGAGATATGTGTAAGATATAGATGCTGCAACAACAAAAACTTTCAGTTCTGCGGATAATAATGTGAGCATTAAAACAGATACAACAGGTTCAGAATAAAGTTAAAGCCATCAGTCAAACCAGCACCACAGGCTCAAGATACAACTGTGTAAATCCTGCTCTTCGGGACAGGGTGGAGAAAACAGTTCATATTGTAGAAATGTGTGTTTGAAACAACAACAAATAAAATACACAATTAACTAATAGCATCAATGTAACTATAAAGACATGAGCATGAAATGTCTTATTTGAGTCGTTAAAGTCAAAAAGATGATTCATTTGGCCTCATTTCTGTAAATCTGTATTCATCAAATTTCTTATAAAGAAGAACTGACCCTGGGACACACACACACACACACACACTCACGCACACACACAAGATCTCACCTCACTCTGATTTATTTCCAGATCTACTTCTTGCTGTAGATTTTCTCACATCCACCGATTGCAGCTTCTGCAAGTCTGAGCTGCACGTGTGCGACTTAAGGTTATTTCAATCTGGAGAGACACACAAAACATGGTATTATTAAATTGTAGTTGACACTACTGTGGTGGTTCTTTGGGGCCAATTCCGGTGGTGGGAGCTAGGAGAAGGATATAGGAGCTGGCCTGGAATGAGGCAGAGATGGGGAGGAGGAGGGTTGCAGCATGAATGAATGCTAATCAAAATAACTTGAATTAAATAAATATTTTACTTTTATGAACAAAAAGCTGCAGAAGTTGAAAACATAGACTACATGTGATGCAATCATTGATAAAAATGCTAATTAAACCGTTAATAGGTGTTAGCATTTTTGAATATTAAAATGTACATTGTGGTAAATAAATATTATAAACAGATATTGTAGTTATGTATTCTGGATAGCAGCATATTAAATTCTAGTACTACTTTAAAGGCACACCGTGTAACTCTTGGCCACTAGGGGCGCTAGACCTGCAACTTTCACGTTTAGCGCCCCTAGTGGCCACAAGCAACTCAGCACTGTCGCAAAAGTCAAACAGTCAGCCGGTGTCTTTTGAGTGTGTATTCAGACAGCATGCACTGGTGTGTGTGTTCAAACTGTAGAGACATGCCTACAGATATTGAGAGACTCTGCTGTGGTCAGCCTCCAGACCGCTGCATTAGTAATCTACCACACATGGACTTCTATATCCTGGATGAGGGAGTTCTGCGTCTAGCTCGTGCTGCGTGGAATGACATCGTTGCGGTCGATGACATCCAGGAACCAGGTGAACAGCAGCGCTCATACAGACATGCAGCTTACAGCACGATCCCTTTCGCGTTTCCTCTTTTTAGCCTCCTCCAAAGGTTTAAAATTTTTCCTTGCCTCAGCCATGACCAGGAGTCGAGCAGGTGAAAAATGAGTAGCAAAAGCCTTAGCTCCATGAGTATATCAGCGCCTGTAGCCGTAAAGCAAGTCTTTCTTCCAAGTCACGTGACCTGGTGGCAGACGGTCCGTCTGCTCGAAAGTTACATGGGCGGTATTTCAAGAGGGCAGCCCCGCTCGGAGCATTGCAAGTGTCAAGCGCTGTATATTGGCCCAAGTATTCATATAAAATAACTCATATGTGTCAACTCTTTAGGTCACAAAGTCCGCGGTGTGCCTTTAAGCTTTGACTTTATTACAGAGTAGAATTGAATGTGGTCTGAAGGTAAGATACCTCACACCGAGGCCCTCACGCTAAGGCCCCGTTTATATGGAGGCGCTGCGCAGAGGTTTCCAAGCTATTAAAAGATAACATGCTAATAAGAGAAATACAGCTGTTTTGGTCTAATTTGGACCAAAGAAATGACCAGATGTACAGGTTTATAAAGTGTGTGGTTTTACAGCCTTAAAACATCAGCATCACCAGGGCACATACACACACATGGTATTTCATTCTGTTGCTCATAATTGTATCAGTTTTAGGCCCTGTCCACACGAAGTCAAGCTCAGGCCTAAACGCAAAAATACTTTATCAATCCAGTGTATCGTCCATACGAGGCCGGCGTTTTGGGGGGGTGTAAACGAACATTTTTGAAACTAGGTCCCAGAGTGGAAAGATTTCAAAACTCCGTATATGCCGCTCCGTGGTTACTGCCTCTCCGCAATGTATCTGAGACGCTTGCGTCATCGCCCCGCCTCTTGTTAAAGCACGCATGCGCCGCACTCAGAAAATAATGACAACAACAATGTAGCTTGTTGGTTTTGTAATCCAGTGTGACCCGAAGCAACAGTTCAACCTCATCGTCCGTCCATACTAATGTAGTACCAGCTCGCCCACTCGCCATGTTGTTTGTTTACAAAATTCCGCGCATGCCCAGTTCCCGTCACGGAAGTTTGGGCTTGATCCCGTCATTGCGTCACAGCGCCACCAACAGGTCTGGCATAGTTTCACAGCGTTTTCAGGCGTATTGACTACATTCATATGGACGCACACATTTACTGAGCTAACTCCGTGTTTACAGAAAAAGTTTCTGAAATTATAAGCGTTTTGTATTCGTGTGGATATAGCCTTACCCTGAACCATATCAGCCAGCTCCACATGTATTACCAGCACCAATGGTACAGTATAATACAGTACAAACATATACATGTCACTTTACCCTGAGAGGATACTTTCCTTCTTAAAATCCAGTATATTCTCCTTTCATCCACTGCTCTGATCGTTAAATATCACCTTTGGTCCATTAACGCAAAACCAACAGTGTGTGGTTATTGGGGGCCTTTGCTTTATCACAGCCCTGGGGCCCCCTCGCTGCTTTACGAGCCTCTGTGCAAAAAACTGCTGCACTAATGGCATCGTGTCAATGTTCTCCAACCACCTCAGGTCTCGTCACTGTGGAAGGAGACACTAAACGCTCTGTGCAAAAACAGTCCAGTCCAGTCCAGGGCAGTCCAGTCCATTCCAGGGTAGTCCAGTCCAGTCCAGGGCTTTCCAGTCCATTCCAGGGCAGTCCAGTCCATTCTAGTCCAGTCCAGGGCTTTCCAGTCAAGGGCAGTCCAGTCCAGTCCAGTCCAGTCCAGGGCAGTCTGTCTGTGTCCTCATTGGTCGCACAACCAATGGAGCAAAAACGTATTTAGCCTCAACTTCAAATGAGAGGTCTGTAATTGTCATCAAAGGTAAAACTCGACTATAAAAATGACAAAATGATTAAAAAAAAGTACACAAAATTCAGAAAACTCGAGTTTTAAAGAATGTATTTTCAAATGATGGTCAGTATTTGGTCAATAACAAAAGTTCATCTCAATACTTTGTTATTTACCCTTTGACAGACCTTAACGTTTTCTATAAGTCTTCACAAGGTATTTTGGCCCATTCCTCCATGCATATATCCTCTAGAGCAGGGAATAAAGTGCAATTCACATGAATATAATGAATCAATGAAGTGTTTGAATCGTTTGAAAGCACTCATTATACACATTCAAAAAACTAAAAGCAGATCCAGGGACCGCTTATACTAAGTCCCAGTTGCACCAGAGTTTAGAGGTCTCTGTCTTCTCTCAGCTGGTTTCTAAACCTGAAACCCAGTAACGCAATACAACCGATCATTTTGCGTTGACGTTTCCTTTCTGCAGCATGACGCGTGGACAGAGGACACACGCAGAGAAAGGTTTTATAAATGCCATCAATAATGCAGTAGGCTCCACGCAGGTGATGAAACTGCGCAATTAAAATCTAATAACAGCGGTTTGGAAAGTGCTGAGGAGACGAGAAGAAGGATCCGTGCCTCGAGAAAATGGTTTATGTGACGATCAGCCATGGGTTCAGTCTCAGGGCAGGGACATGAAGACGTCAGTCACTGCCATCGTCTGTTGAAACAAAATAAGTGGATTTAGTTTTCAATCAATATTTTCAAAACCTATTTCCATCTGTTTGAGAGTTGTGTACCAAGCTGCAAAGACGATAACATGTCACCTATTCCCCTTTTTCTGCCAGGACCACAGCACAACAGTGGTGGTAGATGAGGTTTAGTGTGAGGCTTAGGTCCCATTTAGAGGGAGACGCTGCAGCAGCAAAACGCTTTAGTTTAGTAGATACGCTGCTCTGACCCCCACTTCCCTGCTGCTCCCCGCATGTTCATTTGGGCATGCGCAGTAGCCAAGAACAAACGTAAACACATTGGCGGAGGGTACACTAACTAGCTACATGTGCTTCGAGTGCTACATTGAGGAGAAATCTTCTCATTTGTGTTGTAAAGTTTCTCTGCCTACTACTGGTGGGGCGCTAGAACTACATCGTTTTTGATCCTCATATGAACGCTGTGACATTTGCATAAGGAGCCTGGTTGTTTCTGTTAAGTAAATAAGTAGGTAATCTTTGTTTATAAACCGCCTTTTACAAACCAGAGTCACAAAGCGGTTTACAATTGTGTGCATTTGTATCTCACTCCACCAATACAGGAGGCACATGCCAGACCTATTGTACATGTTTTTAGCGGTGGGGGAAACCGGAGTACCCGCAGGAAACCTATGCAAACACGGGGAGAATATGCAAACTCCACTCAGAAAGGCCCAATTTGGACCGGGATTCAAACCCAGGACCTTATTGCTGAGAAGCGTGAGTGCTATCCACTCAGCCACCGTGCCGCCCTTACTAGTGTACTAGTTTACATACTACTATCAAGATTCAATTTATTTGCCATTTGCAGTTAAACCACACACTTTATGAACCATTACCGCAGCCGGCTCAGGTCAAGAAGACACGGATATCCAACTTACTTTTGGTCCAAATCAGATCAAAACGGCTGTATTTCCTTAGTAGAAAACATGTTTTCTTGTACATAGTTCTATAGCTGATCGGCTGAGAGAAGGTGGTCCTCCATTTTGTGCTTATGTGTCTTACATTTTTTTCAGTGTGTAACGCTGGCTAGGGCTAGGGCGGAACGACTGCGAGGCAAGTATGGTAAGTATCAGACATAGGAACGACAAGGAGCCAAGGTGCGTGAATAAACACAACAGGTAAGTTCAGTTTAAGTAAGTTATTGTATTCAGGTATCTCAGTACTATAAAATAGTTCAGATATAGAATGATAAAAAATGATGAAAAAACATCAACAAAAAGTGTCCTTCAAAAGGTAAAACAAATAGTTCAAGAGTTCAAAAGAGGTAGACAAGTTCAACAAGGTATTGTTTGTATCTGTAATCCAGGTGAGGTAAGTATTGTAATCCACAGGGTATTGATGAAATGGAAAAGATTTTTCCTACCACGATGATGCGGGGGTAGGGTGGTTATAGGTTCAGGTGTCCAGTAGTTCGGGGGTTAGCTCGCCATCCAGTGGGGGATCAGAGTCAGTATATGTATGTATAAAAAAAAACCTGACCGTTGAGCGGGTTGTGATACTGATATTCGATGAGTGGATCCGGTGGGTCTGTGCTGGTGATGTGGTTTGATCAATATGTATCAGTGATCTATCACTCAAGACATGCAGTGAGACCGGCCGGAGGAGCAGGGGTGAAGCTGGCGCTGATGCATATTTTTAAAGGAAGTTTGGCAAAGTAAAACCGGAAGTGGGTGCATTTGTGACGTGGGTTACACTTTCCCCCCCTGACTCCATGTCCGTCCTCGGACATGGCCCAGGCTGGTGACGAACAATAGGCTGACTGGGGTACAAAGGTAACAAAGGGTCGTCATCTGCTTGAACGGCTAGGGTGAAGGCTGAGCTCAAGCCATGGAGCAGGGTCTGTATACTCTTCAGCAGAGGATTGCCCAGTTGTGAGTATTGTAATCGCTCTGGTGGTTTCCGAGTACGGCTTGAATGCCGGATGACCTCTTCAGTTTCAGAACTTGATGGCTCAGAGACAACGGGTGAGTCAATTTCTGGATGGACACCGACAGGCTCCGGACTTGCAGAAGAAGTGCTCTCTTCTACCGGTGAGTCGTCAGCATCATCACTTTCTTCGAAGTCGGATGGGGTGTCATCTTCAGTGCCTGCAGCCATCACGTCATCTACTGGTTCACCACTATCCTCCACAGACTCGTCTGCCTCGGGTCCATGAGGGATTTCAGGGACGCAGGTTTGGAATGGAGCAGGGATCGTAGATGAGACAGGCGACTTGGCAATGGGGACAGATGGCTGGGCAACGGGTATGTCATACACCGTAGTGAATATTTCAGGTTCAGGAGCAGAGGATAACAGTTCAGGCTCTGATTCATCATCGTCAGGCACTAGTGGAGTAGCAACAGGCGGAGGCAGCACAGGAGATCTACTCTTCACAGGAGAGTTTCCAACATGGGAAGGTAAGTACCCACATGGCAGGAGAAGATCTCTGTGGAGAGTTCGAAGTGGTTTGGCTTTACCCTCAGGTCTTACAGTATACACGGGAAGATTGCCGGCCCTTTTCACCACGATGTATACGTCGGGTTCCCACTTATCTGCAAGTTTGTGCTTTCCTCTCAGCCGTACATTCCGCACTAGAACTCTGTCTCCAATGTTCAACTCAGAAGTGGTCACATGTCTGTCAAATCGAATTTTATTTCGGTCCATCAGTTTTTTGGAGTTCTCACTGGCCAATCTGTAACTGTACTCAGGCTGAGACTTCAACCTTTGGACATATTGCAGATGAGAATTTGGCTTGTCTTCATCCAGCGGCAATCCAAACGCCAGGTCAACAGGGAGTCTTGGTTGGCGGCCAAACATAAGCTCATATGGTGAGAATCCGGTAGCGTCGTTTCTGGTGCAGTTGTACGCATGCACGAGAGGTTTGACGTGATCTTTCCAATGTTTCTTCTCTTGTTCACCCAGTGTGCCGAGCATATTCAACAGCGTCCTGTTGAACCGCTCCACTGGGTTCCCTCTTGGGTGATAGGGTGTCGTTCGTACTTTGTGGATGCCAGCCACAGTACTCAGTTCTTTAATAGTGCGCGATTCGAAATCTGTGCCCTGGTCACTGTGTAACTTCTCTGGTATGCCGTAATGCACAAGAAAATGGTCCCATAAACACTTGGCAACGGTCTTAGCTTTTTGGTTGGGGGTAGGAACAGCGACGGCATATTTCGTAAAGTGATCTGTCATTACAAGAATGTCTTTGATCCTCCCATCTGGTTCCACAGACAAGAAGTCCATGCAGACCAGCTCTAGGGGATGGGATGTCTGGATGTTGACGAGTGGTGCTGCATGTTCAGGGAGGGACTTGCGCCTGACGCACCTCTCGCAGGTCTTGATCTTGTTGACCACATCTACAGACATTTTAGGCCAGTAGAACCGGGACCTGACCAGATCCAATGTTCTCTCTATGCCCATATGGCCCATCTTGTCATGGAGTTGATGCAACACTTCAGTTCTATACCCCTCAGGCAACACCAATTGGAAAGTGTGATCACCTCCGACTTGTCTTCTTCTGAAGAGAAGGTTGTTATGGAGCTCCAACTTGTTTGCTTCTCTCAGGAGTAAGGGCAGGTCGGGCAGTTGCTCTCTCAGCATTGGTGGCGGCGACTCTCCACGCTCGAGCTGTGCAATCACATGCTGGATCGTGGGATCAGCCCGCTGCTTGGTGGCAAGGTGAGCGGCTGAGAGTCGAGGGAGTATGGGTGAGGCGAACTGTGTGTCGTCCATGAAACTGTCAGGGACACTATCTGAGTGTACAGACAGGGACAAGATGAGGGCATGCATGGGATCGTTGTCAGAGCAGTACATATCATGTTGGTCAGAAATGGCCCTAACTGTCTGCTGGTCAATGGAGACATACTCCGGATCGTCAAGATGTTGCTGAGCAAATCTCAACACTCGCTCGCGCTCTTTGCGAGACATCAAGTCGTCAGACAGCTCCCCATGTGGCCGACGAGACAGCCCATCAGCATCGGCGTTCTGCTTACCCGCTCGGTAGACTATTTTGAAGTCGAACGTCGACAAGGCTGATAGCCACCGGTAACTGGTAGCATCCAGTTTTGCTGATGTCAGGAGGTATGTCAGCGGGTTGCTGTCTGTGACTATGGTGAATGGGACACCATAGAGATAGTCGGTTAATTTTTCCGTGACAGCCCACTTGAGTGCAAGGAACTCGAGCTTGTGAGCTGGATACTTCGCCTCGCTCCGGGAAAGACCTCTACTGGCGTAAGCCACAACCCTCTTTCTACCATCATGATCCTGGTAGAGTATAGCACCAACGCCAGTTGCACTTGCGTCGGTGTGGAGAATGTACGGTTGTTGTGGATTGGCGAACGCAAGGACAGGAGCGGAGGTAAGTTTCTCAATGATTGTTTCAAATGCATTCTGGCATTCATCCGACCAGCGGTCACCAAAGAGTTCTTTGGGGTTGAGGTAAGTAGCTTGCTTAACCTTTCCAGCAAACCTCTTCTGGGCCGGAGGATAACCAGCGGTGAGATCATGCAGTGGTTTTGTGATGGCCGAGTATCCCTCAATGAAGCGACGGTAATACCCGGAAAACCCAAGGAAGGATCGCAATTCCTTCAAGTTGGTTGGGACTGGCCATGTGGTAAGTGTTTTTATTTTATCGGGGTCGGTCTGCACACCCTCTTGAGATACGACGTGGCCGAGATACTTTACAGAGGTCTGGAAGAACATACATTTCTCGACCGAGAGTTTCAGTCCGTATTCCTTCAGCCTGTTCAAGACTTTCATCAGCCGTTCTTCGTGCTCCTCAAGAGTGGGCGCAAAGACGATCAGATCATCGATAAAAACAAGGACCTCTTTCAAGTTCAGTTCTCCCATACATTTCTCCATGAGCCTTTGGAAGGTACTTGGTGCGTTGGTGACTCCCTGGGGCATTCTGTTGAATTCGTAGAATCCCAACGGGCACACAAAAGCGGTTTTCTCTTTATCGGCTTCGTTCATTTCAATTTGATAATAGCCAGACTTCAGATCGAGCACAGAGAACCATTTGGATCCAGATAACGCTGAGAACGTGTCTTCCAGCTTGGGCAGGGCGTATGCATCTTTGATTGTTTGCAGGTTTAGCTTGCGATAGTCAATGCATAGCCGCACACTCCCATTCTTTTTGCGAACCACCACAATTGGAGAAGCAAAGGGCGACTCGGACTCTCGGATCACTTCAGATTGAAGCAGCTCTCGCAGGTGTTGTCTTACTGCGTCGACATCCTGGGGGTGAATCGGTCTGGGCCGTTGTTTAAAAGGACTGGGATCAGACAGTTTGATTTGATGTTCTATTTTGTCTGTTCGACCGAAATCCAGTTCATGATGGGCAAACACTTCAGGAATGTCGTTTAACCGCTGTATGATTCGTTGTTTCCACTGAGCTGGGAGTGGTGAGTTACCAAAGTCGTACTGTAGCTGTGATGGGGGTTCTTTCGATGGTTCTCTGTGGTAGGTGCTTTGCTCTTTGCAATAGATGGTCTGGAAAGCACTTATTTCTGCAATGACTGCCTTTGCTGGGATGGTTATTGCATGGGATGACTCATTTGTGACCACAACTGGCAGATGGCATGGCCGTTGTGGAGGCAGGTCAGCCAAGCAGGATTTCACAATCAGGCCACCAGGAAGTGAACTGACTATAGGGTGATCAATGACAACAGCCCTCTCGCCTTGCAGTAACCGGTTGGCTATGAATCCCTCGAGGACAATGGTTTTGCCAGCGCCGATTGAATGTGGCTGTATAGACTGCAGGGGGACTGAGGCATTGTCTGAGTTTGAGTGCCGGGTCTGCAGAATCTTGAAGACTGCTTGGTATCCAAAGACACTCGGCTGGAAGGACTGATCAGAGTTCATTTCAGCATGCTTGTTGTAGGCAACATCAAGAGTGTTTGTGCCAACAAGGATCTGAGGATGGGAATGCTTTATATCAGGGACCACAAGAGCCAGAGTGTCAACGTCGATGATTGTACCGAGGAAATCAGGTGGAAATGTTATGGTCAGTTCAATGTATCCGAGATACGGTACTGATTGTCCATTTGCACCTTCGAGTTCGAGCAGGTCTTTCAATGGTTTTATCTTGTGATCTGAGAGGTAACTGTTGTAGAAGGAGTGGGGGATGGTTGTGACTTGAGAGCCGGTATCCAGGAGACAGCTGAACTGATTGTCTTTGATCTGGATTTGACCAGTGCTCTTCAACCCCACGAGACCTTTTGGCAGTGACATTGTTCTGTGAAAACATTCCTTGGGACTGGTTGATCTGGCAGTAGCTTCTGTGTGCCCCTCCACAGAAGCTGAGTCTAGTTTAAAGAGTTCTTTATTGTCCATGCTTGTTGTTTCTGCCTTAACAGCTTTTTCTTCTGTTCGACCAGACTGGTATTGGCAGCATTGGTGCAGGAAGATGAAATGTGATTGTCTTCGCCGCAGTTGAAGCAGTACCATGGCTTTGGTTTAACTGCTGACTGTGTGTGTGGACGGCTGGGTTGACGTGGTGCTGGCTGGGAAATGGATGGACTGTTTTTTCCAAGAAGGGCAGACATCTGGCGTTGGAGTTGCTGCATTTGTCTTTTGAGATCTTTTAAGTCATTCGGGTCAGAACCATTGCCACATGAACAGGTATTTTGAGAGTGAATGTGGGCCTTTTGTTTTGAAGAACTGGTTCCGCTGTATTTTTTCATTAGCAACTCTTTGGTTTGCTGTCTGTCTTCTTCGGTCCGTAACAGTAATAAAAGTTCTGGAAACGAAGGAGGATTGTCCTTTTTCTGTTCGAGTTGAAGTTTATTTATTACTGTATTGTCCCAGCATCCGCGTACAAACTGCTTGACAAGATGTTTGTTAATGTCCACAGCATTCACTCCTCTCCTCTTCACGACAGTGTTCAACATGAGCTGCAGCCGCTGAAGGTACAAAGATGGCCTTTCTCCTGGATCTTGCAGGATGTTTAGGTACTGCGCATACAGCTCTTCACCATCTTGCACTGTGGCAAAAGCGGAGTCCAGAACACGCAGCAGAACAATGGGCAGAGTCTCTGGACCAAAACCTTTGACAACGTCAGCAGCCGGGGCCAGCAGGCTCTCCACCATTCGTCTGGTAACATGCAAGGCTGATAGACTCGGGTCTGCAAGTAAAAGTTCAATCTGAGAACGCCACGACTCAAAGTCCGCCTCGTTGCTTGGCTTTGGAGTGCGTCCTGAGAATGAGCGAAGTCTCAGTGTTGAAGGTCCACTCAGATCTGTACTCTGGACCACATGTTCCACGACGACTCGCTGGACCGCAGGTGGATTGAGGTTGTTGCTGGACAGCGAGACTCTTGGCGTGGGTCCGGTGTCAGAGAACCTTGGGAGAGTATTCGACCTCTCCTTCGATCGTGCTCCCTGTTCAGTGGTGGACTGAGTAGGGAAGCTCAGAGGGACTGAAGGCAACCTTGGTCCAGACAGCGCCATGGGATTGCTGAGCATGTCCATAGCAGGTTCCTCCTCTTCTCCTCCATCATATTCAGAATTTTTATCCATTTTAATGTTCTTTACATCTGCTCCTTTTAGATGTTGATCAATTTGATTCATCAGAGTTTTGAGCATTTCGTCAAAACCAATTCCGCTGCTTTCTGCCATCTGTTTGAGTCCATGGAGATAGTCCGGGGTAACACTGGTACTGCCTCCACCTGTTGCTGAGTATTCAGTATCAGTGAGAGCAGTGACGCGGTACTCATGATTATCGGAGGAGGTGTACTTGTACGGTAGCAGTGTTTTAATAGAGGAATAAGCTGATGCTTCTTCGAATTCAACGACCAGGTTTTTATACATACTACTTTTTGACTCTTTTATTAGTTGTACTGTTTTCAATGTACCATATGCGCGCAAACTATCGAGAAGTTCATAGTCTGAACTAGAGTCGGTATCGCCGGAAATCAACAGTGATTGTGAAACGCATATACCTAGCTGCGCAATAAAGTTCATGATTAACCTTACAACCAGACAAGGATATATTCACACACAAAGGCTCCTGGCTAGCTCGCCACTTGTAACGCTGGCTAGGGCTAGGGCGGGACGACTGCGAGGCAAGTATGGTAAGTATCAGACATAGGAACGACAAGGAGCCAAGGTGCGTGAATAAACACAACAGGTAAGTTCAGTTTAAGTAAGTTATTGTATTCAGGTATCTCAGTACTATAAAATAGTTCAGATATAGAATGATAAATAAATAAGTTGGTATATAATATATATATGTATTTATGAATAAACAATTATACTAGACAATAACAAAAAACATCAACAAAAAGTGTCCTTCAAAAGGTAAAACAAATAGTTCAAGAGTTCAAAAGAGGTAGACAAGTTCAACAAGGTATTGTTTGTATCTGTAATCCAGGTGAGGTAAGTATTGTAATCCACAGGGTATTGATGAAATGGAAAAGATTTTTCCTACCACGATGATGCGGGGGTAGGGTGGTTATAGGTTCAGGTGTCCAGTAGTTCGGGGGTTAGCTCGCCATCCAGTGGGGGATCAGAGTCAGTATATGTATGTATAAAAAAAAAACCTGACCGTTGAGCGGGTTGTGATACTGATATTCGATGAGTGGATCCGGTGGGTCTGTGCTGGTGATGTGGTTTGATCAATATGTATCAGTGATCTATCACTCAAGACATGCAGTGAGACCGGCCGGAGGAGCAGGGGTGAAGCTGGCGCTGATGCATATTTTTAAAGGAAGTTTGGCAAAGTAAAACCGGAAGTGGGTGCATTTGTGACGTGGGTTACAAGTGCTACTTATATCTGTCATGGTTTAGATTTATTTCCTGTTTTATTTTGTAGTTTGTTATATCCCTGTGTCTGCTTTGGTTGCTCTTCCTGTCTTACCAGCCCTGCCCTCCAGCCCTGCCCTCATGTGTATCACCTGTGTCTCGTTAGTCTTGTATTTAGCCCTGTGTGTTCCTTCACTCCCTGTTCCGTCATTGTCATTTCTCGTCTGTTTTATTTCGGTCCTCGTTCCCTGTGTTTTTGGATTTGTTTCATCTTTTTATTAAATCCATTATTTTTTGCAGTTTTGCATTTTGGGTCTCATTTTAATTTCACCCTCGTGACAGAATGATGGAAACACACAAGGCCCAAGCAGACTGCTTCATTTTTAATTTTTCTGGCCTTTATCCCCAACTGGAGAGTTGCTGCAGGAGTTGGAAGCATCCCTCTCTTGTCTTTGTCCTGGACCACTGCAGGACACTTTGTTCCGTCCTGGGTGGTTGCAGGCTTTCGTCCCTGACCTGGCTCCGCTGGACATCGTTTCTCCATCCAGGGGGCCTTCCGGTTTTCGTACCTGCTTCGCTCTAGTCCCCGCTCCAGCTCCTGCTCCAACCCTGCTGGGTTCCAGCTCGGCGGCTCCACGTCCCGGCCCCGGTTTCACGTCCCGGCCCCGGTTTCACGTCCCGGCCCCGGTCCCGGCCCCGGGTTTCACGTCCCGGCCCCGGGTTTCACGTCCCGGCCCCGGCTCCACGTCCCGGCCCCGGCTCCACGTCTCGGCCCCGGCTCCACGTCCCGGCCCCGGCTCCACGTCCCGGCCCCGGCTCCACGTCCCGGCCCCGGCTCCACGTCCCGGCCCCGGCTCCACGTCCCGACCCCGGGTCCACGTCCCGACCCCGGCTCCACGCCCCAGCTCCTGCCTTTCCTACGGTCCCTCTCCCTCCCTGGTTGTTTTTTGGACGTCTGGGATCCGTCCCTTGAGGAGGGGGTACTGTCATGGTTTAGATTTATTTCCTGTTTTATTTTGTAGTTTGTTATATCCCTGTGTCTGCTTTGGTTGCTCTTCCTGTCTTACCAGCCCTGCCCTCCAGCCCTGCCCTCATGTGTATCACCTGTGTCTCGTTAGTCTTGTATTTAGCCCTGTGTGTTCCTTCACTCCCTGTTCCATCATTGTCATTTCTCGTCTGTTTTATTTTGGTCCTCGTTCCCTGTGTTTTTGGATTTGTTTCATCTTTTTATTAAATCCATTATTTTTTGCAAAAAAAAAGTCCAGATGAAACCAACTCAAAATCCAAAACCAAAACAGGACCAGGAACAGGACGGAAACAGACAGAGACATGAACAAGACAAGACAGGACGTTGACAAGACAATGGACCAGCACAAGGGGAGAGGAGCGCAGGGTACAAATAGACACAGACACAGGTGAAACACATCAGGGCAGGGCAAACAATCAAGACAGGGGAAACAGGACAGGAAGTCAAGCTAAAACTAATTCACAGATAAGATGTCAAAATAAAACAAAAATACAAAAATAAAATCCACACCATAACAATATCGTGAGTTGTCTGATTCTCTGATCTGTTGTTGGCGAATCGACAAGTCCTCTGAGACGACTGCAATTGTGATTAAGTGCGACACAAGAATAATTTGAATTGAAAAGAAATAATAATCTTAACTATAACTAATATTAAAAAATAAAAAAATTGCATTCTCTTGGAGGAAGAATCGAAGTTTCCAAAGTCCGACACTTTAAAATATACACATGCTCAGTTTTATTAGAGAAAACATTATTTGTAAATGAAGCCACATTAGAGCTCTGAGGTTAAAGCTTGACTTCAGTTGATTTCTATTAAAATAATGTCTGCATTTTGCCGCCTGGAGCCGTTCCAAATGCTTTTGCTTTATCAACCTCGCAGCAAAGTCCATTAAGGAAAAAATGACAGTTATTACATCTGTGAAGCTGGAGGAGTGAGGTATAGAAGTGTTTTTACATCCTTTTTACAGAGATGGAGATCTTGCATTAGGTGTAGATTAAATTCTGAGATTATGTAGATTAGGTTCTGAGATTGAGAGTTAGTCGTGAGCAACTTCAACAGAACAAAACACACAAACAAGAGCACAACATAAGTGAAGCAGTGAAGATTATGAAAAGATAAATCATTACAGTAAAAGACGTAGGCTGCATACCCAGGACTGAGGCTGTAGATCCAGGACTGAGGCTGTATATCCAGGACTGAGGCTGTAGACCAAGGACTGAGGCTGTAGACCAAGGACTGAGGCTGTATATCCAGGACTGAGGCTTTAGATCCAGGACTGAGGCTGTATATCCAGGACTGAGGCTGTAGACCCAGGACTGAGGCTGTAGATCCAGGACTGAGGCTGTAGATCCAGGACTGAGGCTGTAGATCCAGGACTGAGGCTGTAGACCCAGGACTGAGGCTGTAGACCCAGGACTGAGGCTGTAGACCTAGGACTTAAGCTGTAGATCCAGGACTGAGGCTTTCGATACAGGACTGAGGCTGTAGATCCAGGACTGAGGCTGTAGACCAAGGACTGAGGCTTTAGATCCAGGACTGAGGCTGTAGATCCAGGACTGAGGCTGTAGATCCAGGACTGAGGCTGTAGATCCAGGACTGAGGCTTTAGATCCGAGACTGAGGCTTTAGATCCAGGACTGAGGCTGTAGATCCAGGACTGAGGCTGTAGATCCAGGACTGAGGCTTTAGATCCGAGACTGAGGCTTTAGATCCAGGACTGAGGCTGTAGATCCAGGACTGAGGCTTTAGATCCGAGACTGAGGCTTTAGATCCAGGACTGAGGCTGTAGATCCAGGACTGAGGCTTTAGATCCAGGACTGAGGCTTTAGATCCAGGACTGAGGCTGTAGATCCAGGACTGAGGCTTTAGATCCAGGACTGAGGCTTTAGATCCAGGACTGAGGCTTTAGATCCAGGACTGAGGATGTAGATCCAGGACTGAGGCTGTAGATCCAGGACTGAGGCTGTAGATCCAGGACTGAGGCTTTAGATCCAGGACTGAGGCTTTAGATCCAGGACTGAGGCTGTAAATTTTAACCTGGAGGAAAAAGCTGTATATACAGTAAATAATTTCCCTGATAATCTGAAAATAAAAATTGCAGTCTCTGTGATCCAAAAGAATACTGGATGTTCATTCATTCATATGAATAATAATAACCTTGACTTTAAACTACCGCATCATTCTGAAATCTGTTTCATAAAGAGGTGCATTTTTCATCAAAAAGCAGAGACTCATTCAACTAATGCAGCATTGGACCATGGAGGACTATGAAGAGATAGAGGACTATGTAGAGATAGAGGACTATGAAGAGATAGAGGACTATGAAGAGATAGAGGACTATAAAGAGATAGAGGACTATGAAGAGATAGAGGACTATGAAGAGATAGAGTAAGTAAGTAAGTTTTAGTAAGTTTTTATTTATATACCGCCTTTTCACTGCAGATCTGAGTCTCAAAGCGGTTTACAATTGTTAATTTTGGGCATTTGTCTCTCACTCCACACAGAGATGGGAGCGGGGTCGCCAGTACAGGAGGCGCATGCTAGAACTATTGGACATATTTTTAGTGGTAGGGGAAACCGGAGTGCCCGGAGGAAACCTACGCAGACACGGGGAGAACATGCAAACTCCACTCAGAAAGGCCCTGGTCCGACCGGGATTCGAACCCAGGACCTTCTTGCTGAGAGGCGAGAGTGCTATCCACTCAGCCACCGTGCCGAGTGATAGAGGACTATGAAGAGATAGTGGACTATGAACAGATAGAGGACTATAAAGAGATAGAGGACTATGAACAGATGTGGCCATGTGGCCCTCTGCCATGATAACCCAAAGCAGTCTTTGCATCATAAACACAAGTTCACTGTGTCATCCATCCAACTTCAGCTCAGCCGATATAGACATGTTGTGAGTCGTTCAAAAGCCCAGAACGTCTTTACCTTTACTAAGATATTTGGACACCCCTAGTCTAAGGAGAGTGATGATCTGGGACATTTATTAACATGAATTAACATTTGTTATGATTGCATTTTCTGTGTTTGATCATTTAAGTCTAAACAAAATAAACAGATTGCATAGTTATTATTATGAGGTTCAATAGATGGATTCCTCAGCTTTACCTTGCTTTAGAATGTTTCCTTTTTTAGTCATTGAAGCTATAACCACAGATTATGTTGAATTTTTTTTGCTACCGTTACACAGTCATAAACAAATCTCACTGAGGAATGATAATGATGTAAAACACATGTCGCTGGTGGATAATGGCTCTAAATGACGCTTGTGCTAATGGCTCGGTGCTTTCCACAGCGTTTACATTAAATACCAACAATTATGAGTTTGTAGAAGTCCGCACTCGTGGATGATGCAGCGGTTCAGAAAGACAGGTTTCAAATGGACTCTTCCCCGGCCGCAGGTGCAATCATCTCCTGTTTGTAATTTAGGAAAGCACTTTGTGAGACAGCAGGAGGCGCTTCATTATGAACAAACTGGACTCAACTCATGTGCAGCAGCGAAGGGGATCCAGTTTTCACCAGCTCTGTACTCTAGGGCAATTTTATTTGTACAGCACAATTCAGACTCAAGGCAAGTGCCGAACAAGACAGAACCACACGGCTCTCCACTCCACAGATAAAGGTGAGTGAACATTATTTATGTAGCGCCTCTCACAGACTTAAACCACAAAGAGCTTTACAATTGTTGTTATATTTGTCTCTCACTCCACAGAGATGGGAGCAAGGTCGCCTAGGGGAAACCGGAGCACCCAGAGGAAACCAGAGCCTCCAGTTGAAGCGAGTAGAGTATAGATAATTAAAAGTAAGCTTATAGCAAGTGTATAAATAAATTAACTGTAAAATAGTGTATAGTTCACTTTTTTTTTGTATAGCACTGAATCACAACAGCAGTCGTCTCAAAGGACTTCACAAAGTTGTGGCTTTACCAACAACAGATGAGAGAATCAAACGGTTCAAACACAGAAAATACAATAATAACAAACACATTTTTTCATAGACAGCGGGACCACTGTCCGTAAATGTCCATAAACTGGCTCCAATAGAGAGACTTGACTCAGGCTGTACAACGAGGACTGAGGCCGTGTGGTTCAGGTGTCGTTAGGTTTATGAAGGGACTAACCCAGGCCGACACAGGGAGAACAAGCACTTTGAATACAGTGGACAGAGCAGACTTCCCATTCCCCTATTCACTTATATTGGATGGGAGCAGCTGTGATCCTGGACAACACAAAAGGACTCTTGTTATTATTGTACTATGGGGAAAACACTCACGAGGCCAGGTTCTGTTACGGCAATGAAGCATCCCGCGACTAGAGGAATGTGTTTCTTTACCGCGCAGAGTAAACATGTCGTGGTGGCCTTCGCTCGCTCTGACAAATCACCCCCTGGTGCTGCGTCTGTTCTTTACACCACAAACACGGCTGGTTGTGTCTACATTCACACCAGTATTTTAGCCAACAGACCTAACACAAAGTTGTTATTTTTTTACTCTCACACACCTTGGATTCTGTCCGGAAGAACACGGCCTGAAGGTCTGAAGCTTCCTGCCTCTGGTGGAAGGAAGACAGTGTCTAAAACCATGAGGAAGACTGAGCCAGCCGTCCAAAATATCAGGTACAAGAAGTCAACATCTATAGCTGTTGATAGTTAGTTTACCAAAGTACTGCAGAGAATGTGGACTGAACTAGACCCTTAGGGTCTTTCAGAAGTACCTAGAAGCTACAGAAGCTTCCATTGGCAAAAACGTCTCAACATAAACGGAGCAAGTCTGATCCGTTCTCCTTTAACCACACTGGAACCATATGGACCCATGTGGAGAGCCATGCACCCAATGCTGTAGGTGTGAAACTACCCTAAAAGTTCAGAGAAGTGGTCTTTTCCGACATTTCCTCCAAAATGCTTCTATGGTGTAAAAACTGTACGCTACAAAAGTTATACATTTTTGGCATTACTTCGTAGCCATGCATTTTGGCTGAAGATAAAGTATAACTATCTCACAATTAAAAGTCACTGCTCCATCTGGAAGCTCAAAAAGAGACTTTTATTCTAGATGTTTTGTTCTGGACTGTTTCCACATGTTTTTTTCTGGACTGTTTCCACATCCATAACAAAATGGCTGAACCGTTCTTTCTGTAACAGACTGTGGTGACACATGCCCTCTCTGGACTCTGCTGTTCTCTTTGACAAAGTTGGCCGTCATTGTCAACTCCAAGAAAACTCTAGTAATTTAAAGAGACAAAGTGGGGACCCTTCCAGGATACCTCAGGGACATGTGAGCTCAGGTTGTTACCAGATTTGATCTTCTTCACATTTATTTATTAACTTTTTTTAAATGTGCATGTATATTGTTCATTCCACCACTGTGTCTCACTGAAATGAGAAGATCAGTATTTTCTATGCAGGCCTAGAATAAGACGTGGAGATTCTGATCCGTGCTTTGTCTCCAATAGATTGGACTTCTGTAAAAGCTGCTCACTGGTCTCTCCAAATAAATTATAAAACATCTGCAGTATATTCAAAACTCTGCAACTCGACTAGAACCAGGACTGGACTAATGTGGTTGTACCACATTAGTCCAGTCCTCAGGTCTGTGCACTGACTTTAAAGCAGCCCTGTGTGTAACATGTCTCTGCAGGTCTCGAACCAAAGTAAATAGGACTTGTCATAGCATTAATTCCATACTTGCTTTTGATGAGGGAACAATGTTGTTAACACGGTTAAGAACTCAAATTCTGACTTTGCATAATGTGACCTTTACGGCCAACAAACACCTGGGAGGACATATTATAACGAGAGAAACACCTGAAAACAACCTATCCTTTTCACCCCCTCATTTTCCTCGTCCCTTCTGGTCTCGCTGGGTCTCAATTGGGAGATAACCGGATCGCAAACAAGCCGACGTACAAGGGACGTATCCGTATAAGAGGATTAATTGAACAATTGTCGTACATCTGTTCCCATCATGCATTGTAATCTGGGGAGGTCGTTAAAGGGATATCACACGCTCTTTATTGCATCTTCGATGCTGCATATTAAAAGGCTAGGTATAACACACAGAGGAAATACTTAGTACTTAGTATGCAGTGTGTGCTGATGGCTGAAACCAAGGCTATAGATGCAGATGTGAGAGTACTTAAAGCCACGCTGATAATAGCCACTTTCTATGCACCAGGAAAGCTTATTATACTACTTTATAATGAACAGGCAGGTATCAATTAAGTAGGCAGCAGCTGGAGCAAGCTTCATTCTCCTTAGTAATTATGTTTGCGCGGGGACATGTTTTGTAAAGAAGCCGGGCTCAGATCAGAGATTATAGTGAAAGGAGTGTGGTGACGGTCGGAGTAATGATATGGAGTTAAAAGAGTGTTATGATTATGGAGAAGGAGGTGGTGGGCAGTTGTGGTAAATATGGATCTGTGCATAATTATCTCTCTTCGTGACCCACAAAACGTTTGGAAAAGATCAAGTTTATTATCTTACTATTTTATCATCTATAATCTTCAATATAGATCATGTATGTGCACAGTGTATAAAGTAGTCATTTAAATATATTCAGGGGTAATTAGTGTAGATTTTGTATTTGTTTTTATAAATGTCTTATTCTATTTTCACTTGTACGACTTGTTTCCACCGAGAGCCAAATCTACTTCCTGTTACTCACAATGGCAGTAAAAAATAATTATGATTCTGATCTTGAGATTTCCTCACAGAGGGACGAATAAACGTGTCTCTTACCTTATCTTATGTTTACTTTTGAATGCGCTGGAAGCTCTGAAACAGAATTTATTATTTTTTTCTATCTGAGATGTTGCTGCAGTACAGTGTTGATGGTTTTACACTGGTCCAGAGCAGAGAGGATTCATGGTCCGAACCAAGTAGATCAGGTGAAAATCCCCTGCAGGAATGCTAACTTTTTGAAAAATGCTACTGAAGCATTTAGCATTTTACTTTGGACTAGAGCAGAGAAAATGGTCTGAACCAAGCGGCTACTCCACCTGGTGACCCGTCCTGCTCCACCCAGAGCCTACTCCACCTCTTCTGCTGTGACCTGAAGGGTTGTTGCTGCATTTTTTACTTTTAGAATGATCAATTTTATTTTCTACTTTTGCTGCAACTGGACACCTGAATTTCTCCTACAGGGATCAATAAAGTATCTATCTATCTATCTATCTAAAAAGCAAAAAAATCAGAGTTCCTAGTATGACATTAAAGTAATCTGGATAATACTATGAAGCATGGAGATGACTTCAGTCGGATTCAGCCAAAGACTCCCAAGACACTCCACATGTCATTATTCTTTCACTCCAAACTCCTACTGTAGCCCCAGGGCAGCTGTGGCCCCACAATAAACAAGGGACCACAGTATTGTAAATTTAATTTTCACTT